AAGAGTTTTGGAACTCAGTTTTGTAGCATTTATTGCAACGAATTTAGTTTTGTTGTTCCTTTCTTTACTCCAGGTCCAACAGTACCTTCCACGCCGCATCCCAGGTCCTGGTTACGTCTAGTGTTGCGTGTCCGCATTTTCGCCCAAACAAATGACTTTTTTAAAGTCCCAATATCGTTTCCATCGGTTTGTCCGTCTGTGTTCGGAAGTTTGCCAGTTTGGCTCGTATGGAGCTAAGCCAGTAGATCTGAGCTAGTTAAGAAAAGACTAAAAGAATCAAATTCAGAATTTAACAAATGAAACTTCTAGTAACTTAGGTGGTAAAAGTACTGATATTTTCAATTTTTAACTTCTGAATTTGATTCTTTTAGTCTTTTCTTTTCTAGCTCAGATATGCTGGCTGAGTTCGATACGTATGTATGGCTGACTGATCAAACAGTCTTGTTATTTCAGACCGGCACTTATGGCCTTGGCAAAAAATAGATAACACTAGAATAATATAGTTAGCATCAAGCATCAAGATTACTGCAACTGCAGTACCAATAACAATGGATTAAAGTACATAACATCAAGGTTACTGCCACCGCAGTACTACAAATGGATAAGAATTTCGCATTTGTTTTTTTCTTTTTTTTTGCGCAAAGTTATGTACTATAAATAATTGAATAAATGACATATGATGTTCAGTGATGTATCATTTTGCATATCTTTCTGTCACGATTAGATCAAAATCATAATGCTTTGAATTTTTTTTCAGTCTTACCGAAACCAGATAGAGATGTTTGATTTTAGACAAAATCAAGGCAAAGTGAGCACATTTTCTATTTGTGTTATGTTATGAGGACCAAGTCAGCTATTTCACTCCTAAATCAAAAGAGAAGCTAGATCCGTAGTCGATTTAGGAGTGGCGAGGGGGTCGGGTGGACGTTTTTAAGGGATTCGACCCACTACCGACCTACCGACCCAAAGCTTCCCTCTTTGTAACTGTTTTAGGTCATCCATGTTTGGCTGACTGACCATAAGTTTTTCTAAAGGAGCCAACATAAACTAATTATGAGGTAGGAGCGTGCGGCAAAAAAAAACGCAATATTTTAGTAAATTTTTTTAACGCCTTTGGCTTTTTATTTCAAAATTTTTGCCCGCGGCACAGAAAATTTAGTCAAAATAGGGTTTTTATAATGGTTTGGGAGAATCTAGAATATCACTTTGATCGACTAAAAATCGACTAACCCCCCGTGAGCAGATAGTTCACTTAGTGAAAAGTTTTTTTTTCAGCCAATCAGATTTAATGCTTTAATTTAGGGGGTCTTACGGGGAAATTACTCAATTATTGGTATCAAAAGGGGGAGATTTTTCGCATCAGTCGTTCTAAAAAAAGTGTGCAATCATTTTCATATTATCGAGAAAAACGTTTTTAGGTTAACTTAAACCTAAGTTCTGAACAGAGGATGACATCTAACCTTATTTAAAATTACATTTAAAGAAACGTATTTTTCTGCAATAATCATTTAAAAGTATACCTCTATGATAAGAGTGCAGCAGAAATTGATTCCAACCGAGTACGTCTTGCCTCCCATAATTGACAGTATTACAAAAAAAATTGATCGAAGCATCTATTTTTCTACATTTTTAATGACAAGGTGTGCTGAAATATTTTACAACTTACAAAAATTGATTGATTTCTGCAAGTGCTTTTCTACTTTTTTATTGATAACATTTGCTGAATAAATAGTTTCCTTTTCGTTCAAAAGTCTACGGAAATAAATGTAATTTTGAAACGTTAGCTAATATACATATTCATTCCAGCATTATTTCATCTGATTTAACCACCCTTTCTAGAATTAAAAAAAAAACAAGCAACTTGGACCAAAAAGGAAAAATAATTTGAATTCAAATAAGCCTTTTTTGAACGTTTCGAGAGCTCAAAACTTTCTGTTCTAATTGCGCAGCAAATTGCTATCTGAGTTAGAAATTTGGTTTTTTGTTTCAAAATCTCTCGCTTTTCTGTATCGTTTCGGGATGTGAGGTAAAATAATTTTTTTGAGCCAATTATATCATTCTTTTTTTTTGCTGTCAATTTTTGTTTGTTTTTTTTTTACACGGGGATGGGATTTAGTAAAATGGAACCGTTCTTGAAAGCTTACGAAATGCGAAATATAACTAATCATTTTTTTCAAGTCCGCCAAATTTTCTTTGCTTTTTAGCAATGGTTCGAATATTTCATTAACAACAGTTAAGTAAAATGAAAAAAGGATTAAAATGGATATTTACGGTCTAAAAAATTGTCAAAAAACCAACTCCCATCTTGTTTTCAGACAAAAAAAGTGGTGTATAAACCGATTATTACCCGTTATTTTCTCGAATTTTATCGCAATATAATCTATCGAATATCTAAGAAAATGTATTTTTTGTATTTTTTTATTTGGGTGATTTATTGTGGCAATTTGGGTGATTAATGCAAGCATTTCACAAATTGTTGAAAATTCATATTTCAACTGTCTGATCGTACTTGATCTCTATTACTTTCAAAATTATGGAAAAAAAATATTTAAATTCCAGCAAAATTACAACTCTCATAACAATTGTAGCTTGAAACTATTTACAAACAAATAGGTTCAAATGAAGCTCGCAACTCTACCTATGATCTGCTACAGGTATCACCCTCACGACGCTGAGCCTAATGTCTGAGTATTACAAACACATTCTTTTTCTTTTCGAAGAAAAACCAAATCAGATGGCGAATGAAAAGTTAAATTAAGTTGGTACTTATAAGCGTTAAACTCGTTTTTTGTCCTATCTCAACTCGAGGTCCCTTTGTACCATCTTTGGTAGCAGTAATCGATTTGTTACCATGACATTGATCATATTAGTTCGCAAAACAAACACGAGATCATAATTTTGCCAAAAACTGCAGTAGCAAAACTGTTTTGGTGTTGAAACTCGCTAGTCGTAGGCCCCTGTAAACGTTTTAGTCAAATTTCTTTGACTTGTCCACTTTATGGTTACTGCTTCTACTATGAATATCTCCTCCCAACGTTAACAATGGCCCATCTCCTCCACCACCCGCAACCTTAACCCCCCCTCCACGCCTACACCTTTAACCCCCCATCGTTCACTATCCTCAATCATTCACCAACCGCCCAGCTGTCCCGAAATGTTTACGACCAATTTTCAAATGTTGTGTGCGGGATAAATTATGTTTTTTTTTGGCGGGATGAGTGGTAAATATGCTGTTGTTTACCACAAAAGGATGTCTGTATATGCGTGTGGGGCGGCTGGGTGATTGCTTGGTAAAGAGGAGGGGCCGCGTAAGTCTTTTCTTATGTCGCACCGCGCCGCGCCGCTTAAGTTTTTTCTTAAGTCGCGCCGAACCGCTTAAGTCTTAAGAAAAGACTTAAGCGGCGCGACTTAAGAAAAAACTTAAGCGGCGCGACGTAAAAAAAAGACTGACGGTGCGACTTAAAAAAAAGACTTAAGCGGCGCGACTGAAGAAAAAACTGACGGCGCGACTTAAGAAAAGATTTAAGCGGCGCGACTTGAGAAAAGACCTAAGCGGCTCGACTTAAGAAAAGACTGACGGTGCGACTTAAGAAAAGACCCAAGCGGCGCGACTTGAGAAAAGACTTAAGCGGCGCGACTTAAGAAAAGACTTAAGCGGCGCGACATAAGATAAGACCGACGGCGCGACTTAAGAAAAGACTTAGGCGGCGCGACTTAAGATTTAAGATAAGACCGACGGTGCGAATTAAGAAAACACTTAAGCGGTGCGACTTAAAAAAGACCTTAAAAGCGCGACTTAAGCAAGATAAGACCGTCAGAGCGACTTAAGAAAAGACTTACGCGGCGCGACGTAAGATAAGACCGACGGCGGGACTTACGAAAAGACTTAAGCCGCGCGACTTAAGAAAAGACTTTATAGGCGCGACTTAAGCAAAGACCGACGCCGCGATTTAAGAAAAGACTTAAGCGGCACGAATTAAGAAAAGACTTAAGCGGCGCGACATAAGAAAAGACTTGAGCAGTGCGACTTAAGAAAAGACTTAAGCGGCGCGACTTAAGAAAAGACTGACGGCGCGACTTAAGAAAAGACTGGAATTGCCAAATTTGAGTCATGCCGGTCTTTTCTCAAGTCGCGGACCTCGACCCGGGTAGTTTTAGTTGTGCAGTGTATTCAAGCTATTAAAGTAGAATCAAAATTTAAAAAGCGAGTAATGGCGAAAAGCGATTTTTCTGCTAGCTTTTGGCCGCATCAGTTTTGGAGCTTTTAGTTGATAGACTGGCTCATTTATCTGATCACTCAAAAAGCGAATATTTTCTGCTAGCTTTTGGCCGCATCAGTTTTGGAGCTATTGGTTGATAGACTGTCTCAATTATCTGATCACTCAAAAAGCCAGAAAAGAATGCGAAAACTAATTTTAATCAATAATGTGAAACCATATTTGAACAGCATTTTCTTGTTTTTTTTGTCTTTTACTTGTATCTTATCTGAATTTAAAACGGCGTAGAAAAATGCTTACAACAAATACTTGAAAATTATGAACTGCCTGGTTTTAGTGCTGGTTATTTTACATCTGTCTTCTGAATTATGGGCTATTACCTGTAATAAATCACTGGATGAGCCCTTTTATTTCAAATTTGGTCCCCAGTGCACTGATGACACTTTTCTCTCCAAGGATGTTGACCATTGCTCCGAAGAAACCCTTTCTCGAAGTTTTTCTTTCGGCAACGTCGAACGATCGACTTTGTTTGTCTGTGTGAACGGCATAATTGCTTTCGATACACCTGTGGCTAACTACTCTACAAACTACTTCGAGACTTCAAACCATGCAATGATAGCCCCATTTTTTGCCGACGTTTATTTAGTCGATAACTTCATTGACTACATGTGTGTTGACAGAACAAACTATGAGGTTGGAACAGATTCGGCTCACTGGTACGAATTTGAGCCGATCTGCGGACTTTTTCACAGCCAAGAGGAAAAAAGTTTGTATTATGGGGCAATAAGATTCCGAGGACACACTATACTTAACGAGACTCTCCGATTCCTTGTTGCTTTTCACGAGGATACAATTTTTCAACCAAACATTACCAATGTTCATTTTGACGACTATATTTCACGTTTAGTGTTTGGGCAACGCACCACAAAGTACGTGAACCTAGCTAACAATGTTTTCAAACGTGAAATGAGTGATGCGGATCTGCACAACGCGAATGCATTGATAGCAAACAATCTTTTTGGAATTAGTTTCGATTGGGGTTATGTTGTCACGTGGTACAAAGTGTTGGCGTTTCCGGGCAATTTGGACGGCTTCAATAGTTTCCAGGCAGCAATTGCTTGCGGCGTTGTATCAGAGATTTCTCAGCGGAGATGTTTCTCAATTTTCGACTTTTTTGAGCTCAAATGGGTCTACAACAATTTGCTAGAAGGATTTTCAATCAGTGGATTCAACGGTGGAAATGGTAATTTTCATATCAAATTTTGAAACGATCCAGTTATTCATGATAGCTCACTGAACCTTTTATAAAAATTGTTCAAAAATTTACAGGTTTTTGAAGCAATTTTTTGAATGTAAAATCACCAAAAAATTTAGGTTACTGGAAAAATTTCCGCGCTGACCTATCTTCGCTTTTTAAAACAATGTTCGTCATAACTAACAATTTTCAGTTTCTAACAGAATTCTGATCAGTTTTAGGTAATCTTTACGAAGGTTTTTTGACTTCATTTTGTTTGACGTGATTTTTTAAGTGAAAAATTGAAGACCCATAATTTCAAATTGAAATAACAACACACACTTGTGACGATTTCACCTAAAATAAAAATGAATTATCTCCTGTATTTCTGTGTAGGCAAGAGATATCACCTTCCTCTTTCCGGCACTGCTGAAGCGCGAAATCTGTGGGCTTATTCAAATTTCAACATAGAAGGAATCTGGGTATTCGAACTGGTCGAAACTGACCAGGAACCCGTGACTCCTCTGGGCGAACTATCCTCAGATGACCTTGAACTTATGGGCGCTTGCTCTGGGCCGTTTGAGCCCTCTTTTGTTGAACCGAACGTAAAATCAGTGTTTAAGGTTCAAAACTGCTACTTGCCGCCCCATGATGAACTTGCTTCAAAATTAGTTCTAGATGATATTTTGTTGAATGAGGGGATCAATTACATTAGATTGACCCAAACTCTTCAGTTCAATCATACTTTTAAGAGTAAAGGACCCGCTATTGTAAGCATCATGTTAGACGGAGTGCCTTTCATATCCCAAAAGTATATCTACGTTTACGAACTGGCACCGGCCAGTAATGCGACCATTGAAGCTACTCTTAAGGAAGAAAATCAGACTGTTCATCTTAACTTCCAAAACTGTAGCGTAACTGATGCAAACTTGACAGTCAGTTTTAAAGATGAACAAGGTACGTGTTGCTGTGATTGGAGTTAAATTAAATTTTTCAAAGGGCTGGGTAATAAATGTTTTCTGAACATTTTCAGCATGTAATAAAATGTTGAAACTCAGTTACTAAAATTTGCTGGGAAATATAATCGAAACACTTTTTATTCGACTACTCATTTTTACGCGAAGTTAAACAAAATGTGATCTTAAAATGCCCATGAACTGATTTAATTGAGGTTCAAAACATTTCTTCCATATATTGATCCCAGCCGAAAAAAAATCTGATTCAGCTAATGATTATTTCTATTTTTGGTAAACTATTTGAAACTACCTCCTGTTACAGAAAACATAATGAGAACTGAGAACGTGACTTTGGTGCCTGGTGACTTCTTCTATGACTACCATTACACCACCCAAGCAGGGGAACAGTGGATTGAATTCACCCGTGGCGGTAAAAGTTTAAAATGTCAAGTTGTAATTTGGATTTCAGTAAAATAGTAAAAGTGGCTAGGAAAATGACCACTTTTAACCCCCCCCCCCAAAAAAAATTCGGTGTGCCGTTGTACTTACCACTTTTAACCCCCAAAGGGGTTAAAGCCCCTACTTTTTCGGGCACGCATGTTTTAAGGGCGGTTAAAATTGGTAATTTTCCAGCCACTTTATGGAAACGGGAAAGGAATTAAGTTTTGGTTGGTGCATGTTTTCCCTTTGACTTTGACAGTTCAAATTTTACTGCGCTCATTATATTGTGGATTATTTTGTAATCTTTATCGCCACGTGTGGAATTAAATAAAATGCTGTGATATTGGTAAGTTTATATTGTTGTTTTGAATACCCCCTCCCCCCTCACGATTAGAGTTGTTGATTATTTCACTTTTCGGTCAAAAGAACAATTTTGAAAAGCTTTATTTCCTGAATGAAAAGTACTATAAAGCTAATCATTTACATTTATAATCAGAAGTTATTTAATCAGAATCGTCTAATATAATAGCACGTCGATTTAAGCACCGCCGTTTAGGTGGTCTAATTTCTTCCCGCTCGTTTTCTTCTCGAGCTTCATTGTCCAAATAGGGGCAGTTGTATGCTGCTGGTTCTGACTAATTTTGCCCACTTAGCTGGTCGACATCTACCAAATCCTGTTCTAGCTCTTGATCAGTGTATGTGGGTTGGTTGAACCCCATATCTGGTGGAGTAAAAATATCCACGTAATAACCGCCCTGCGCTTCTATAGCTTCAGCCAAATCCTCCCCACTTCCGTTATCGGTGGGAGTGGGGACCACGGCGTCGTCTACGTCGTATTCTCCCCAGTCCATGGTGCGCCCAATTTCTCTTATGAACATATCCTCGCGCAAACGTTTATGTCCGAAAGGACTAGTAGTTACTCTGTCTGCATGTATATAGCGCTTATTGTCAAATGCGCTCAGGGAAATTTTGTTCGTTATTATGGTTTGTAAATTGTGATTACAGGAATTTATCCTCACATTTTCTGACCGGACCAGCGAACAGTAAGTCAAAGTTTCTTTGTATTTGTTATGGGTTAGCTCCCTTTTTGCATATTTAGCTATCCCCTTCACGCTTTTTTTATCCATGTCTGAAACAAAAATACAATCGATTTACTTCAAATTTTTAACAGTTTTTTCCCTTTTCCACATAAATACCTCCCTTCCCCCTCCCCCAACCCTCACTACATAATCATATGATTTGTTTTTGTTGCCCTTTTCTAAAATGGTAATTGCAAAATGGTAAAAGAAAAGAAAAAGAAACTTACTGGAAGAGATAATGCTGTACAGTTTGGGTTTTAGTCCGACGTACTCCTGTATGATCTCCCCAGCAAACTCGTCCTTGAATTTGAGGGTAACGCGCAAATTCTTGTCGGTGTAGAGGGGGTGGGTGGCTGGTAGATTTGAAAAGTCAAAATGATTTCGCAGTTCATGGTTTTTCTCAATTTCATTGTAGAGATCTTTGCTGCGGATTTCATACAAGAACGAATCAGTGTCCGAATATAAAAGAGTTGCGTCAAAATTTTTCTTGATTATGTTGTAATGGAACTGGAACATGTAAAATTTTGCCAAATCTAGTATCGTTGCACCAACAATTGTGGGCTTATCCCATTTAATGTTCACAGGTTTTGAGGTTACAGATACCAAGTGTTGGTCAATATTTTCTATACTGCTAAATCTTTTTTTCCTTGATAAATTTTGCAGTTCTTCAGCATTGCGAACAATATCTACAATAAGTCGATTCTTTTTTGATTCGCAGAATTTTCCAAACGCACTATTTATTATTTGCTTGAAGAAATCTTGTTCAAACTTGGTAGTAGCTTTTTTTCGGAGCTCAGTGTTCAACTGAACATATGGTGCAATAAATTTTTCTTGTCTAAACTGCAGTACTCGATTAATTTTTTCAATTTTCAAACCAAGTTTGACATAGAGCTGAAGTGTTAGGTAGTGTACAGTTTAGTTTTTCTTTGGAAAGAAGTTTTGTATGAGCTTTGGCGTAGTGCCCACTTTATCCGAAATGTTCATTTTTTTCAACATGTCCAATTTCAGCTCACTGAGCCACATTTTGGACACAACTTTTTTTGTTGGGGCGAGTGGGTAATCCGAATGTGCATCATGCAAATGATCGGGGTATAAAAGATCAACGTCCAAAATGTATCCATTTCGGATTCTCTGCTCGTGTTGAGCATTTCGGCTATAGTTACTTGGTCATTAAACTTGAATGAGTTAAGTGGAAGAGGAAATTTCTCCATAGTCCCGCCATATAAATTGTTCGCGTCTATCATGAAGAGGAAAGTGTTAGGCTGTTTAGGGTCTTAATTTTTCACAAATTTATTGTTGGCGGAAACAAGTCTTTTTTCAAACACACTTGCAATGCCCCCCCTGATCAGGTTTTCTGCCATATCGAAGTGCTCCCTATTAGTGAAGAAATGGAGGTCAGCCTTGCATGTTCGCAAAAATGCATCCCCTGAGAGATTGCTAACCGTGAAATATTGAGCACAATCTAGCTTATATGTTTCGTAACACACTCGTCTAAACTCTTCAAAAACGCATGCAAGAATCAAGGTATCAGTCGTTAGATACAAATCGCTGTATTCGCCCAAAGTCTGACAACCGAAACGAGTGTACACTAACCATGCATGTTGGTATTCTTTTTCACTGACACTAACAACACCTCCTTGCAGCGTGTTGGTCCACTTGTCGCGTGCAGGTAGTCCATCTTCTGTGTATCTTGCATGACTGTCAACATACGAGTAGGGGAAGTAGCCTTTTTGTCGAATCAATGCTTTATCTTCTTCCGGTCGGGTAGCAAAGTGGTTATTGAGATATATGAACTTTTCCACGGGTAGATTTCGAGCTAGCTCATCTAGTGAGCTGTTCAGAAATTTACAACTGTCCACAAAACGGATTTCTACGTAAACATGTTGGACATTTCCTTTTTCGTTAGTGTACGATCTAATCCACACTTTCATTGTAACTGAAATAAATTTTTCGTCATTGAGAGGAATGACCGAAAAGTTGTATCTGGTGTTGGTATCTTGCAGACTCTTCAGTACATGGTGCAAATCATAATTCTGGAGATTGTGGGCAAAGACAGGGGTGAATTGTATGGTACGTCTCAGGAAGTTGCATTTGTTGTGAGCCCATCCGAGGAATGATCCATCGAAATGATTATGGTCCAAAACTTTCGCGTTAGTTTCAGAGAATTCCTCATCGCAAATCCAGCATTTGTCACTGTCTTCAAGAATAGTGGTGCTTCCGAGGTAGTTCGGGTATCGTCGTTTTTTATTATGAAAGTCACGCGCCAATACTTCCAGCATTCGAACGAACTTAGTTATGGCGTCCACTCCTCGATGAAGTGAAAAAAACGCCGGTTTCGGGTTTCCAGCTTCCACAACGACAAGGCAAAAACTGCTGGGCTTATGTTTTTCAATCACGGTTGTGCTCGAGCAGGTAGGATTATTTCTCACTGTCTCCACCTTCTCCAGCACAGACTCCAAATCAAAGTAAACCGCGAATGGGCTATAGCTTCGAGCACCGATGTTTTTGAAGCCTACACTGCTCTTGTCAACATTTGGCATGGTAACGATTGCTGGTTCGTTCCCCATGCACATTAACTGGTGGCGCTCAAGTCGTTCCTCAGATGAACACCGGTGGAAGCAATTTCGGCACAGCATGTTTCTCGATCTCAGTTTTCTTTTTTGCATTTTGCTCACTAGCTTGTTCATGTCTTTTATCGCGACGTAGTGATGCGTTCCCATATCGTTTAGAAGCAGCAAATCCACAACAAAATTAGTCTGATATTTTGACACTCTCAGGGGTAGAAGAGTCTTTTCATTGTACCTAGAGAAAAATTTTGAATGATATTTTTATACTAGTTTTTAATGTCATCATAATAATAATTCTTCAACGAATGTGTAGCCAACTATTTGTTCTGATGTGCTTAGATAAAGCTGCACACCAATTAAAAAAGATTTGATTAAAACTGCAACTAACCTGAAGACATTCACTTGCACTTCATTCAAAATTTCGAAGCGTGCAATAGCCGGTAGTCCCATTGGGTACACAAAATCACCAGTTGGCTCGTGCGCTCTTGAGTTTCTGCGATAATCATAGAAGATCGCTTTCTCCTCCTCTTTACTCTGCATCGTACAAAGAGTAAGCGGGATATTGTTCTGCCGATGATACTCAGCAACGAAGCAGTACTCAAAGCATCTATCGTCTTCATAATTGCGAATATTCAACAAGAAGCGTTTGAGTTTCAGTAGATCGGCCTGGTAGTGGCAAATACGATGAACCCCTGATCGGTGCAGACTTCACCATTTTTAGGACAATCTTATCAATCCTGCGGATTCTCCAGCCGCTACCATGAGACGCATATTGATGGATAGTAGACAGTATTTGGTCTACGCAATCATAGAATTGGTCCTGGGTCCATCCTTGAACGTCTACAGCAAGCATTTTGCAATTGGCGAAGATGGTTATTACTTCTTCTGTGCCATCTGCTTTTTCTTTTTCAAGAGTTACTTCTGCCGACAATTGAGCTTTCTGAGGCTCATACATAGTATTTTGAAGTATCAGCTCTTCGATTTCGTCTCTCTTGGTCACGAATAGCGCTAGTAGGTCCACTTCCGTTTCCATCGGCACTTTATCGTTTGTCCTGATTGCTCGATCAAAAGCTGTCTCAGGCTGTATAGAAGTGAAGATTTCTCGGCTCACATCCCATGCTGGCAGACCGTGTTCGTTTAGCATATGCGCAGCATATGCGCGATCATTTTGGAACACATTCATGTCGTAGAGACAAATTCTTCTTTTTGCCTTTCATCGATTGTTTTGTGACGCTCCACCACATGTTCCCAAATGACACGAAGTGACTTATCCTCTAGTTAAACACAGTGACCACAGATGTAGTCGGTTTTCACAGGATCAATCTTGTGAACAGCCATTAGAT